AAAAGTCTGATGGGTTCTCATCCCTGAATATTTCTGTGCCATTTGATGACTACAAAGTTAATCTGCATGTCATTTGTGCTCTAGACTGGCACACATTTTCATTAGACATCATAAAGAAAAAAAAGACACAAAGTATTTAACACACAATGCTTATTCAAAAGATCCAGTGCTTTTTAAGAGATAAAAGCAATGAGTGCTGGTAGCAGCAGTACTGGTAACCACGTAAGCAGTTTAGTTATAGTACAAGGTGTGTTCATGTGCCAATGATTATCACGAATACTTTATACATTTTACCTCTGTTTTTTGTAACCACTTTTCAAGAAATATCAGCATCACTTTTTCAGAAATAAGGAAAATGGGAAATGAAGCTTAGACAGGTGGAATGAATTGCTGAAAGCAGCTCAGCCACAGGCAGAACCAGGGTTGAACCCCAGAGCCTCCAGGCTCCAAATCTGGTCCTCTATCCCCTGTCTCACTGTGTCCCACTGCACCAGTATTTCCATATATTTCCCCCTTTGAATGACAGTGAAAGTCATTCTGCTTTTCCTGATTATTATATGTCTGTCCCAATCCTCAAATCCCAACTTTTTTAGGAGGTCTTTTATTCCCATCCATTAACACCCAGGTGCTCAATGCCTGTGCACGTTTGCCTTGCAGGGGGCACTCAGTCATGCACTGGGTACGTAAGTTACATGTTCAAGGACCCACAGAGACCAGGCTAGTAATATAAATGAATGAACTGTGCCAGGCACAGAGCTTTATTCCCATTGTTGGTGAAACATTTTTTCTACCTGGGCTGGCTTTTATCTTTGCAGTTTGGATAGAGCCATATATCAAGAAATATCTGTCTACCATAAGGAGAGGAATTGCACAAGAAAGACAACAGGTGACAACTAACAGCAGGCATAGGAGCTAAGCATACAGAAGGGAGAGGTGGGGTGTGTAGAGCGGGGCGTGCGTATCTCATCCCTGGGAAGCAGCCGCTGCTCCACCCAGCAATTCCTGCCTGTGAGAAGGCAGGTCCAGCTGCCAGATCTCTCCCTGCCCCACTTTTTTTTTTTTGAGGGGGACAGAGTCTCCCTCCGCCACCCCAGGTAGAGTGCCCTGGCATTATCATAGCTCACAGCAACCTCAAACTCTTGGTCTTGAGCAATCCTCTTGCTTCAGCTCCCAATTAGGTGGGATTACAGGTGCCCACCAAAACACCTGGCTAGTTTTTCTATTTTTAATAGAGAGGGGGTTGCATTCTTGCTCAGACTGGTCTCAAACTCCTGAGCTCCAATAATACCTGCCTCGGTCTCCCAGAGTGCTAGGATTACAGGGTGAACCACCTCCCTGGGCCTTGATCTCTCCTTTTCAAGGGAAGCCAGATATCTGGCTCCTTAAGGAGAGCATCCTGCTTTCAAATGCTACAATCAATTCAAATTTGACATAATAACACACATGCCTAACAAAACATATCAAGGGCCAGCAAACACCAATTTTTTTTTTAGACAGAGTTTCACTGTGTCATTCTCAATAGAGAGCTATGAAATCACAGCTCACAGCAACCTCAAACTCTTGGGCTTAAGTGATTCTCTTGCCTCAGCCTCCCAAGTAGCTGGGACTACAGGCACTGCCACAACGTCTGGCTTTTTTTTTTTTTGTGCAATTGTCATTCTTGAACCTGCAAACCTAGGTCTATGTGGCTGGCACCCTACACACTGAGCTATAGGCACTGCCCAAACACCAGTTTTTTGCTTCTACAAGACATGGATTGTTTGAATAAAAAAAAAAAAAAATCTGCTTACCACATTTTTCTAGATGTACATATAATTACTAATAGGATTATTTAATCCAAGTAGGTCCACATTAAACACTGACTGATTTTCTATATAGCCTGTGGAAAACTGGAAATTTTATTTGAAGATGGAAATTACTGTTATTAGGTTGGGATTACCACAATAAATTTTCCCATGATATTATTTGCCAAGCATACACCGAGAAAGAGTTTTGTTTTAGAGAGCTTACTTTCATGCATTCAGGGAGGTATTCTATCATTTCCGTGATTGGACATCTATTGCTTGGAGAACGGTGACTAAAAACTTTAAGACATTCATCCCATCTGAAAAAAATATATATACAGGACAAACACAATTATTAACCCATGTGTTCTGCAAAACATTCGAAACTCAAAATAAAGAGAAAATTTATTCATGAAATGCAAAGGTTACCCACTGGGTCCAGTGGAACCAATATGTGAACGAAAATCAATCTAGTGATCAGATCTTTGTACATTAATGGAAATTAGGAATGTGAGTAACTTCCCGGATGGCTATGATCACTGTTCCACTGTTCTGTTTCTTTCTGTAAATGCCTCCCAAAGAGGCCAGGCCTATAACTTCTTTTTCTGCTCAAGCCCAAAAATGGTAACAGACTTTCAGAGATGATGATGTCGGAAGAGATATCCATATTTACGTACGTACATCAGCCATAGTGTAGGCCATAATTAAAAGTGAATGCATGTATGCATCACGTACTGAGTTTAACTACAAACTAACAGGTGTCAGGTCTGTGGATAAGCACAGCCAGCCTCTGCCAGAACACTGCCGAGTCTGCCCCTTTCCTCATCACCATCTAACTGGATGGGTTAAGCAGGAAATTACCATACCAAAGAGGAACTAAAACTACAGCAGGAAGCAAAGAAGAGCCCATTTATCTCCAAGATCTTAGCAAATTTTCCGTTAGCCCTATCAATTAAATCCATCTAGAATATCTGCATTATCAACAGAAGAGTTCCAGCTGCACATTGTCATTAACTAGCATTTCTGGGGCCCGGTCAGGGGATTTTTCAGACTGCCCATCCTCAAAAACGCAGGCTTGATCTGCCTTGAAGGTGAGATTGTTCGCCTCTGTGTCCACTACTGGGCAACACTGGGCCTTTATCTGATTATACAAGAAAGTTTATGCATGAGAAGTGAGACAGATTATTCTTGAACTTCATCGTTTAAACTCCTAGAGTATGGTTTAAAAACCCACAACCAAAAAAGATGGTATGTTCGGGAAATACTCCATTCGATGCCACAGACAACAACCTCAGGGAATATGTTTGCCAATATCCAGTTTCTGTCGTCAAGAGTGTTGGGCAAGTTCAGGTGGAACAAGGCAGAGTCTACTGGCACAATGACACGGCACCCGACTGTACACAGGCCTGGACGCCTCACGTCTCACATGGGCTCTGCTAAGGCTGGTCTTTTGAAGATCAGAGAGGTAAGCAATGTGCCTGCTGTCACTCCAAAAGTTCATTAAAAAACATCTGAAAACAACTGACATTTGAAAATGTCAAATGGCTGACCTGTACTCCTTTTCCCTTTCTTACTTCCTTTCTGGCTGTGGAGCATCGCTGATGGCAGAGGACACTTAGTGACAGTGGACAGGGAGACAGCGTACCTTTTGCTCCTGATGGCCGTCAGAACCACCTCTTTCCTCTTATTGTGCAGTGCAAGGTGCACAAAGGAGGCCTGCTTCTTGTTCAGGACGATGTCAGCATTGTGGCTCAGAAGCAGCCCCACAGCTTTGGCGTGGCCATCCCTCGCGGCAAAGTGCAGCGCCGTGTTCTTTTGGAGAAAGCAGACAAGAAATGAGCAGTGAGGAATCAGCCTGCAGCCCTTTTCCTGAACTGCCTGCATCATTACTGAACTGCTAAAAAGAAGTTATCAACAACACTAACTCCTCCACACCCAAACGCATACAATTTAAAGCTGGTGTTCAGAATCAAGCTTCAAATTTTCAAACACGGAGAGTGGTGGTGAAGGCGGCGGGTCTGTG